CCTCAAGGCTGGTTTTGTGATCACCTTGTAACTTTCTTATCTTTGCGCATCTGTTCTTCCAAGGCCGAGCTGTTTAAAATGAGATTGTTCCAGAGGTTCTTATCTTACAACTAATTATTTTCTAAGTTACAATGGTTTCCCTTTTGGTTGGTTACATATATTGAGCAATGGCTCTAATTGCTTGAATTGATCTTAATATTTTAATATTCACAGGTATCACCATCAGCAGCAACGGGGCGGTTGTGGTGCCTGACCCGCTCCCCTTGCCGCCCCGGGGCACTGAGCTGTACTCAGCACACGCCAGCCTCGTGCTCGCAGCGCAGAGCCTCGGCACACCCCGGCACAGCGCAGCGCTGCACGCCGCGGCCCTTTGCGCAGGCACAAGCGCCCGGTGTCCAGGCAACCGGCAGCGCCTCGCTTCGGGGAACGCTGCACAGGATGCCGGCAGCCACGCAGGGTGTGAGACCGCCCTGCAGAGCAGGGTAAGGGGGCTCCTGCTTACACCCGCCCGCGGGGGCGGTGTCAGTTGGTGTTACCGCAACTCACCCTGAATGGTCTCTGCCCATTTAGGCACGTGAAACAGTGCAGCAGTGGGTGTGACTGCGCTCCGATCTGCTCTGTTCCAGGATTTAAGTGTCCCGGAGAATTCTGCAAAAGAGCAGGCTCTGTTGTAGCTCCCAGGACTGCAGGAGAAGGAAACTGCTCTGGGACACCCGCGGCACAGACCCCAGAGCCTCTCCTTGGGTCCTGCTGGCAGACTAGGCTGTACAGCAGAGCTCTTCTGCTTGGTTTTGCTGGCACAAATTGCAATTACTGCAGTTACAGTTGCTCTCAGACCTGGTGCCTCGAGGAAGGTTCTCGACAGTGACCAAAAATTATCTGTATGCAGTTTTTAAGTATTCTGATTTCAGATAATCTAGGCATCTTAGAGACGCCCCTTGGGAATTAACTCTACACAGCTATTGCTCTAGCCTCTCAAACGTTAGAGTAGAACAGTCACTGTTTTTGGATAACCACCACATAATAGTCTAGTAACAGTTTTCATCTATTCATCTTAATTGAAAAGGAGAGGGTCATAAGTACTTCTGATGTATGGATTTTTATTTTTGCTTGGCTGCATGGCACATCCATAGCTAACTTAACTATAAAATAACACCAAATTTTGAATTAAGCACTAATCAACTATAATCTTATCTAGGCAAAACAAGCTTTGTGGTAATTAACTCTTCTTAAATATTGTGGGAATTAATGTGTGCATTTCAGCTAGGAAAACCACAAGTTCCTAGTTATTTTAAGCGTGGAACCTGAAAAACAAACATTGGAAAAGCATTTGAAAAAACCTGCTGTCTCTAGACCCAAATATTAAAATCAGAAGTACATGTAATGCCACCGTTGTACCAGAATTACCTCTTGCCTCTGTCTTCTCTCCCAGGTGTGCAAACGGGCTTGCTCTCTCTCCCAAAGCCACAGCCTTCTGCGGGGTCTCTGGGGAGTGTTTGCTGGCCACAATTACCGCAGGATAACCAAAGCCAACCGTGCTGATGCCATCTCAAACCTTCCCCTCTTGGAACTGAGCCTGGAGTGATTG